ACGTCGTTTAAGCTATTAGCTATTTCGAGAAGTCGATCGGCTGTGAATTCTTTGGATAACAGGAAAACAAAATAATCGTCCATGTAGCGTTTAAGGGTTGCGAATCCATTAGATTTTACCAGAATTTGATTGTCTATTGCGTTCATGTAAATTGTAGCTAATACAGGAGCGAGATTATTTCCCATTGCTAAACCTGATCGCTGTTTATAAGCTTTGTTACCAATTAATACATTATCGCTGGTAAGACAAAGTCTGGTAAGCTGTTCGAAATCCTGACTACTCAAGTCACGAAGTTCACAATGAGATTTGTGTCTTGAGAAAAAACGTGTAGCAACTGTAAAAACGCTGGGGGTGTCGTTGTTCATATCTTCAAGTGGGACTGATCCATATAGGTTGCAAACGTCAAGGCTACAAAATCCATGTACTGAGTTTACGTCTGTTTTAGATATGAACTCGATGAACTCTTCGGTGTTTTTTAAATGGGCAGGGGCATGTTTAATGAGTGGTTGTAACGCTTTTGCTAAATATTTCGACAGAGACGTGGCTGGTGTGTCAGTAGCTGCATGTATAGGCCTGCCTTTTAAATCCCCGTCTTTATAGTCCTTAGGTAGACAATAGGCCGAGCAAGGAAGTGGTTCACTACAAATGGTGGATTTGAGATCTTTATATAATTTAGGGTTACTAAATTGATATTTGTTAGCTACATCATTGAGGCGACGATTAAAGTTGATCTGTTCAGTTCTGGGCTGGTTTAATCTTTTAAGTTCTTCACCCTGCCAAATTCGTTAAAGGAGTTATAAAACGCACCCTTTCCGACAGAGACCAGAGCGAAGATCAACAAGATACTATTTATCTCAAACTCCCATTTATCAACGAAGGATATAAACGACAAGCCTTAGGAGTGTTATTCCGATCACATATTAAGAATGTTAAAATACACTTTGTGAATGGCAGATCATTATCAAAAGTGTTTGGCCCACCGAAGAATAAACAAAACTGCCCACGTAACTGCGAAACATGTAAGTCAGCTATCCAACTGAATCGCTGCTTGATGAAGAATGTCGTTTACGAAATTAAGTGTGTAACATGCGGAACCATCTACATAGGGGAGACCAGCAGAACAATAGGAACACGAATTAAAGAACATTCAACAATGGAGAAACAAACCGTCTTCAAACATTTATCATCACATAAGCATCATAAAGGAAATAAGATCACTTGGAGAATCTTGCATTCAAATATTCGAAATGACGAAGAACGAAGATATATACAGGCTCATGAAATACAAAACCAATCTGAAGACATTATGAACGGTTGTGTTGGGAAAACAATTTGTATATAGAACGATTTTTAACATATAGAATTGTATATATCAAAACCTTTTTTAACCCATAGAATTTTAATAGAATTTTATCCTAAGTAAAACTTATCACTAATGCATGACTAGCATGTTTATTACTTCCGTTTATAATAGAAATAAGCTATGAATTTTTAATTATACATACCTGTATATACACTAGGATCTTAATATTGCTACTAACCATTCCACTGAAGAAGCCTTAACCGGCAAAACGTTTGGATATTAACAAATAAATAGTTAATTTTATGTCTGAGGAAATCATTAATACAACAAGTTCATATATATATATATATATATATATATAATTATATATATATATATATATACGTTTTTATCGTTGAAGAATGAATCGCGAAAAATCGAGGACATTTATCATTTTTGTCCAAAAGAAAGAAGACAACGGAGAATATGAACCTAGTTCCTTACGCTCAATGTTTGCTAGCTTCGAAAGATACTTGAAGAAAAGGAACAGGTTTAGTATCATGATGCACAAGGGTTTTGAACATGCAAGAAAAGCTCTGCACTCAAAACAAAAGGAGCTCAAGCGAAAAGGAAAAGACAACAAACCAAACGCTTCAGTTGCTCTGAGCGAAGAAGAAGTCAAACTGCTTTATGAGAAAGAACTCTTTGGAACTTCAAATGGCCAAGCTTTGATAAACACACTATGGTTCAACAACACAATTCACTTCGGCCTTCGTGGTTGCAAAGAACACAGAGATATGTGCTGGGGCGACATAAAACTACGCAAGAATGTGAATGGAGTTGAATATCTAGAGTATTTCGAGCGACAAACAAAAACATGTACAGGCAACAACCTGAGAGATGTCCGAAAAGTCATGTCAAAAATGTATTCTGTTCCCTCAAATGCGGCAGAAAGAGATCCTGTCTTTGTTTACAAGTTCTACGTGGAAAAACGACAAGTGAAATGAACACAGACGAGGCACCATTTTACCTTGCCATAAACCACTGCAAGAAGGCTTCATCCAGTAAGGCTTGGTTCAAAAAGTCTGCTATTGGCGTGAACAAACTTAATTCACTCATGAAAACAATGGCTCAGAAGGCTGGCCTTGGTCCACACATCAGCAATCATAGCGGGCGAAAAACGATGATGCAGACTTTAACCAACAACAACATTCCTCCCACGGACATAGTTCAACTATCTGGGCATAAAAATATGCAAAGCATTACGAATTATTCAACAGTATCGCAAAACCAGCAAATGAAAATGTCTAGAGATTTAGCAAATTTGTCAACAAGCCAAAAGTCCCCCGCGCCCTGTATGACAAGTGTTGCCGAATACACACCAAATGCGGATGTCACCGAACTTCACCAGCACCACCAACAACAACAAGGAATGGCTTTGTTTTCTGGTGCAGTAATCCGTGGGGGTGAAATAAGGATTTTGATCAACAGCTTAAATCAATCTCCCGTGGCGGTTACAAAAAATGTGTCGCCACAAAAATACAAAAGACTACGATTAATCGACTCTGATTCGGAATAAATGTTACGGCTCGTTGTCTATTTACATTAATTCTTTGAGTGACACTTCGTTTTTAATATATCATTTATTGAAATATTCGCTGCTTCATTTAAACTTTGCCTAAAAAACAATTGCTGATTAAATTGTTGAATTTTATAAGTTAAAACACAGTATTTGCATGAAGCAACTCTACGATTATTGAGGGGAAACTGTTGTACTAATTTAAATGATAGCTACTTTTATGCGAATTATATATTTTTGAAACGTTTGAACTGTGATCTTGATCCCGGGCTAAATTTTACTAAAAATCCAATACTTCATATATTGATATATAGATATAATATATAGAGTTTACTTCATGGTTGGCTCGTTTGTACGATTTTTATTATGCACTCGTTGCAAAAAATCGCAAATTCACTCGTTCGCTACGCTCACTCGTTCGTTTTGCGATCCTTCACAACTTGTGCATAAAAATCGTACGCACTCGCCAACCATAAAGTAATCTCTATATATTATATCTATATATCAATATATCAATATATCAATATATCTTATATATATATATATATATATATATATATATATATATATATATATATATATATATATATATATATATATATATATTATATATATATATATATATATATATATATATATATATATGAATTATTGGGATACCAATAAAGAATTTATTGCTTCCTGCACTTGAGACTTTATAATAAAGTGGATTAAATACTTTAGTTTGACGCGCAGGTAATTTCCCTGGAATTCTGATGACATATAGGTAACGCCTGGGAAAGCGGAGATGAGGGTCAGTATAGATAAAGAGCAGAATGTGCTGCCAATTCATTCTGCTCCTCGCTTCGACAAGGTCATCACAGATCAAATTTGAATTTTTTGACACTTCTTTGAACAGGTAACTATCTCTATATTTATTCTTATTAGAACTAATTTAGAATGTCTTTTGGCTTCCCCAATATTCTAATTTTGGGTCATTCTTTTGTCCGTCGCTTACGGGATGATTTAAAGGCTAATTTCGATTCCCGCGCATCCCAGAATTTCCATATTCCCGAATCGGGTTATGTCACTATGCTGGGTACAGGTGGCCGGACAGTTGAAAAAGTGATTCAATTCGATCTTTCTTCTGTCCGATCTGCCAAACCTGACATTATAATTCTCGAGTTGGGCACAAATGATCTGACTACACATGCATCTGAGGTAGTAGGATCGAGGCTTGAAGAGCTCGCTCGCCAACTTCGCGACAAATTTCACGTTCGCGTAATTGGGGTGTGCCAGGTGATTGACCGCAACATCGCCAAAACGCGGGAATCTGATAGTGTTTTTAACACCAAGGCCGCTATTTTGCGCCAGTATTTGTCCGTGGTTCTTGCAGAGGAGCAGGGTATTTTTCTATGGGAACATCGGGAATTTTTCAATCCCGCCCGTGTTCTGTTATCCACGGACGGCGTTCATTGTAACCCACAAGGGCAATATTGTTTGTATAGGAGCTATCCGCATTTTTATTTGTCGTTTATCATACGTTTGACTTACCCAATATGGGCTAGAGCGACATGACTGTTTACAGATGCCCACGTTGAGATTTCAACATTGGGTTTTTTGCTGCGCAGGACGAGTTCATGATTTTACTTGTTATATATGGGTTGTGTGGTTTGTGATGTTTGTCGTGCTGATGTAGTTTTATGCATATATCGCTCGTTCGTTCTGTGTAGGAAAAAATGCATGTCTAAGTGGGCAGGGCGTTTTACGTTTCCGGATGCCCACAGTTGAAGTCAATATATTGTGGGATGGTGCGGCATGTTGTTTTCAGATTGCCCGATAATTTTCAGTATTTGCAGCATCACGGGATAATCAAATGCGGCTACCCTCGTTGTATGCCATGATTATTTCGCTGCCTTTTCCATTCTTCCTGTCTTTTTTAATATTTTTCAATTGTATTGTGCGTGGCGTGTCTCTGGTATATAGTATTTTACGTATCACCACAGACATTCGTTTCGCTCTTGCTCCGCTCTTTGTTTATTCCTTAGTTCTTGCTATACGGAAGTATGCCTGCTACCACTACCAGAGCGAGTAAACGAGTGAGAGGCGAACGCAACCAACCCGACCCGGCCGCGACGATCGTCCCGCTCCGGTCCACTCATGGCTTCCAGTACATCGGTGAATACCTTGCCGCAGCCATTGTCCGCGCCAACTACTGCACCAACAGACAACACCACTGCGGGGTCTACCAACCATTTTACCCTCTCAGAAATTACTCTAGCCCGAATAATTTCGGAAACAACGCAGGCGGTTATGGCCAACCTCCAGTCACACACCATCCCATCTACACCGCTCGAGTTCTCAACGGAGACGCGTGAATTGCCAGTGGTTGCTTCGGGTGTGTTGGGTACGGCAGACGCCACGATGCAGGGGCCGGTGGCGTCTGCTTTACTCAATATATCAGGTGAGCCTAATTTAGTGCCGGTATCGCGGTCCCCAACGCCAAGATCCAAATTTAATTCCATCAGTTTGCCTATCGGAGCAAACGTTAGTGCCAAATTGAAGTCGAAAATTTGGGCCGATGAATTTTTAGATTTCAGCCTATTGCTTGGTTCTGGGGCTTGTGATACTCGTTATCAGCTGTCGGTGGGGCCTCAAGAAGGCTCCAATGATCCGCTTTTATCTTTGGAACCAACACATAGAGTGAAGTCCATCCCTAATATCGAGGCATGGACTTCAGCGTTTCAAATTTTTGTCGGGGTGTACACAACTAAATTCCCCATGGAGGCCCCCGCTTTGATGAAATACGGCGAAGTTGTTCGCGATTTGGCTGCTCGCGGGGGTGACTGGCGTTTTTACGACGCTCAATTTCGTCTTTTGCGTCAAACTAACCCAGCCGATGCACCGTGGAGCGACACTCACTGGGAACTGTGGATAAGGGCAAAATTTCAATCATTCACGCTTCACTAAAACCCAGCTACCTACGCGTAATCATGGGTCTAATTCGCCAGCGTCAGTTCCTGCCCTATTTGTTCCCAGGGGATTTTGTCGCAAGTTCCATCGGGGCGGCGATTGTCCGGGCTGTAATTTTAAACATCAATGCTTTAAATGTGGTGTAGTCCACTCCGCACTCCGATGTAATTTTCGTCCCTCACGCTCAAATTCGCAGTCAACCCCTGCAGCATCCAAGTCCCGTCCTGCCAACACCAGTACAAATTAATAAACTCTCCCTCTACTATGTGGATATGATGTGCGATTGACATCTATGTTATATAATGGTTTTCAATTTGGTTTTCCCCTTCATTTTGAAGGCATTCGTATATCGTTTTTTGCAACAAATCTTGTTTCGGCCCTGCAGAACCCGGAAATCGTTAGTGCTAAACTTTCGAAAGAATTAGCGGCGAATCGCATTGCTGGGCCCTTTGACAATCCCCCTTTTCCCAATTTTCGAGTCTCTCCGCTAGGCGTTGTTCCTAAGAAAACTCCAGGGGAGTACCGTTTGATTCACCATTTGTCATTTCCGAACGGTGCTTCTGTTAACGATGGGATTGCTCCCGAGCATACCTCTGTGAACTATGCTCGTGTCGATGATGCAGTTTCTATGATCAAGCAGCTTGGGCGCGGTTGTTTTCTTGCGAAGACAGATATCAAAAGCGCATTTCGTATTATTCCCATACGCCCTGCCGATTACGATCTCTTGGGTATTTTTTGGCAAGGCAAATATTATTATGATCGAGTTATGCCTATGGGGTGTGCGTCGTCATGTCGCACGTTTCGAGATGTTTAGCACTGCTATCGAATGGGTTGCTAAGACACACTTGTCAATCGCGCATCTAATCCACATTCTCGATGATTATCTAATGGCCGCACCTACTTATCACCAATGTCGCATTGACCTTGTTCGCTTTTTGTCTCTCTGTGAACACGTAGGCGTGCCAATCGCTCCAGAAAAAACAATCGGCCCACACAACGTTCTTTCCTTTGCCGGCATTGAATTAGATACTTTGTGCATGGAAGCCCGCTTACCTTTGGATAAAACTGACAAATGCAAGCAGTTGATATCGGCTTTTCTTTGTCGCAAAAAGGTCACATTACGCGAGATACAATCTTTAACCGGTTTGCTCAATTTTGCTTGTTCAGTCGTTGTCCCTGGGCGGGCCTTTCTCCGACGTCTTATTGATTTAACTAAGGGCGTACGGTGTGCTCATCATTTCATTCGCCTAACTAAATCGGTAAAGGCTGATCTCGAAATTTGGCAGTCGTTTTTAGCCAATTTTAATGGCCGATCGTTTTTTCTCAATGACATGTGGCATGACTCTGCTAGCCTTAACCTGTACACTGATTCTGCGGCTAGCTTCGGCTATGGCGCGCTTTTTGGTGGTGTTACGGTGCCTGGCCCGACAATTGGAAAACTTTTAACATAACGATTTTGGAATTCTACCCAATCGTATTAAGCGTTCTTCTGTGGGGAGACCAGATGCGTAACCAGCGTATAACTTTTTTCACCGATAATGCGGCATTGGTTGATATTATAAATAAGGCTACTTCTCGTGATGTGACTGTTATGGTGTTTGTTCGACGCCTGGTGCTGGCTTGTTTGCAATTTAATATTCTCTTTCGCGCTCGCCATGTAGCGGGGGTTACAAATGTTTTGGCTGACTCCTTATCTCGCTTGCAGGTTTCGAAGTTCAAACGGCTAGCTCCGGTGGGCGTTCGGCCAACACCGACAGTCATACCGCCTCACCTTCTCCCACACAATTGGCCGCTATTACCTCGCGGTTAATTCAATCTAGTTTGCAGCCTTCGTCAATCCCTACCTATCGCAGGGCATGGAAACTCTACAATCAGTTTTCTTCTGCAGTTTTTCAATCTGCTTCAGTCAAACTGCCCATATCGCCTTCAGACTTGGGTTTATTTATCGCATTCATGTTTCAGCGCAATTATGCAGCCTCGACCGCGAATACATATGTTTCTGCATTAGGTTATTGTCACCGTTTAACGGGCGTGCATGACCCTACAAAGGTATTTTGGGTTCTCGAAATGTTGAAAGGATATGGTAAGCTTGGCTCCGGTGTTGATGCACGCCTTCCAATCACTATTTCTATCCTCCGCACAATTTTACAACAGACTTCTCTCGTTGCATCTAGTGAATATCGCGCACTTTTATTTAGGGCAATGTGTACGACAGCCTTTTTTGCCTTTTTGCGGGTTGGTGAAATAACGACTTGCCCACGGTCTCCCGGCGTGCTTCAATTATCTCAAGTGGTTCAGCTTGTTGATAATTTGGGCAATATTTCCGGTTTGAAAATCAATTTTGCGAACTTTAAACATTCCTACAATCAACCTCGTGTTTCTCTTACACTTCACCGCCGTTCCGATATTTGCCCTGTGCAGACATTACTCGACTATTTTGCGCGTCGCGGTTTATCCGATGGCCCACTTTTTCGCACTCTCGATGGGCGCGCAGTAACACGCAGACTATTTACTGAGCATTTGGCTTTGATTTTTCGTGCATGCGGTCTTGACCCTACTAAGTATAAGGGGCACAGTTTTCGAATTGGTGCAGCTACTTTCGCTGCGGAATGCGGTTTTTCTGACGCTCAAATCAGAGTAATGGGTAGGTGGAAATCCGACGCATTCCGCAAGTACATTCGTAGTCCAAACTTATCTTCGCGACCTATGTCGCATCATATGTTGACATGAGTCATTTATTGCCGTGCTTGGCGGGGGTTGACCTTGGCTGCACACTTCTTAGTTCGTACTTATTTCGTTATATCCCATATTAGTTGCAACTACGATAACTACGATGAGACTCATTGGTAATCGGGCGCAATGCTGATACAGGGGTAAAGCTGTGCTCCTCTACCTCATGTCACTATTTTCATATTGGCGACTCTGGTTGCAGATACTCGGCCGGTCAATGCAGGGGCACGACTGGTTGGAGATCTCTACCTTTTCCTTGCTGCGATTCTTATATGTGGGTTTCTTATATGCATGTTTTATATATTATTTGTTTTGCTGATTTTACAAGTCTGTCTGTGGATACCTTGTGGCGTTTAAATTAGCCCCACCTTTTCTGTGCAAATTGTTTAGTAATTGAATTTATTGTTTGTTGATTAATAATTAATTAATTTGTTGTTAAGTAAAAATTAATAAATCGGCATGTGCATTAGACAATTACGCACATTGCCAAAATTATTCCAACTCTGTGTCTGAGTTGTTTTTGTACGAGATCTAGAACACAGAAAACCGAGCTCGTCATGACAAGGTATCTTTTAGATATGAAGGGAAGCGATAAAGGAATTATTGGGATACCAATAAAGAATTTATTGCTTCCTGCACTTGAGACTTTATAATAAAGTGGATTAAATACTTTAGTTTGACGCGCAGGTAATTTCCCTGGAATTCTGATGACATATAGGTAACGACTGGGAAAGCGGAGATGAGGGTCAGTATAGATAAAGAGCAGAATGTGCTGCCAATTCATTCTGCTCCTCGCTTCGACAAGGTCATTACAGATCAAATTTGAACTCGCCCTCCTCCCCGTTTTCTCACGCGAGCTTAATGTAAAGGTATCTTAGTATATTCGGTAGGGCGTTTAAATTAGCCCCACCTTTTCTGTGCAAATTGTTTAGTAATTGAATTTATTGTTTGTTGATTAATAATTAATTTGTTGTTAAGTAAAAATTAATAAATCGGCATGTGCGTTAGACAATTACGCACATTGCCAAAATTATTCCAACTCTGTGTCTGAGTTGTTTTTGTACGAGATCTAGAACACAGAAAACCGAGCTCGTCATGACAAGGTATCTTTTAGATATGAAGGGAAGCGATAAATATATATATATATATATATATATATATATATATCTTTATATATCTATATATATCTATATATATATCTATATATATATCTATATATATATCTATATATATATCTATATATATATCTATATATATATATCTATATATATATATATCTATATATATATCTATATATATCTATATATATCTATATATATCTATATATATCTATATATATCTATATATATCTATATATATATCTATATATATATCTATATATATATCTATATATATATATATATATATATATATATATATATATATATATTTATAGAAAAAGGTTGCTTGTCAACTAGAGAGATATTATTCGAACATAACCACTGCTTTGTATTTTTTAATATCACTTTATTCACAAACGTTTTCGCTCTCTTAGCTCTTCAGGTGATAAATGATGACAGTGGTTATTTTGTTTACTTACATATAGTGTAATATGATACATCCTATTTAGTGTGACTATGTTAAAGTTGTGTTATTTACAAAGATAAAATTAGCATGCATTAAGATTAGGTTCTAGTGTTCTAATTATTTGTTTCTCTTTGGTCTCTCTTATTAGTCTATTAGCGTTGATACACTTATAGATTGGCATAATGTTAAAGTTGCCTTTGCTACATTTAGATAGGTGTTCACTGACGGTAAAATGTCGATATTCTTCGTGTCTAATATTCTGCTTATGCAAAGTTACTCTGTTTCTGAGGTTTTCAGTCGTTCCCATGTAGAAACTGTTGCAATTTGGGCATATTATGATGTAAATAACTCCTTTAGATTTACAGTTTATGTCATATTTTACCGTCCACGTTTTTCCATTCTTCAGTTCAATTTTGTCCCCGGTGATTATATGAGGGCATGTGCCGCAACGAGGTTCATTGCACTTTGTCACAGTTGGCGTGGCGTTGGACGTTGAAAATTCCGCTTTCGTTAAAATTCCTTTTAAGTTTTTCGGTTGTCGTCTGGTTACAATAAGATTTGTTTTCTCCATTGTACTCCTTAATTCGTCTGACAAATTTAAAACTTTCACTGTTTCCCTTACTTTCCCAATAATGAATTGTTCTCGTTGTTCCGTGCCATAACGGATCTTGAATCGTTCATATAGTTTTCTTTCTAGGAAACCCATCACCAATGTTGCATATGTTGGGGCCATTTTTGTGCCCATGGCGGTTCCTTGAATCTGTCGATAATGTTGGTCATCGAATTTGAACGTATTTTCTTTTAGCACGATGGATACGGCATTTAGAATAAATCCTTTCGAAAATGGGCGGGCAAGATGTGCCGTGTAATTATCTAGCCAGTATTCCATAGCTTCTAGACCTAGTTCATGTGGGATATTTGTGTAAAGATTAACGACGTCAAATGACACTAGTAGTGTTTCATCGGTTACTTCATTTGGTACATAATTGAGAAAATCTAGGTCATCGCGGATGTAACTAGGGACTTTTGTGCAGAGTGGCTTTAGCACAATGTCAATAAAATTGCTTAAACGGTGCGTTGGCGAGCTTGGTCCGGCTACAATGGGTCTCATTTTCAAGTCCGATGGAGGGTTTAATTTCACGTACTCGGCATTTTGTTCTTTTATTGCAGCTTTGATACCAGCGGATTTGTGTATCTTTGGGAGTCCGTAAAAGTTAGAAGTTTTGTAGGTAAAATTATTGATATAGTTGATCTCGTCATTGGTCAGCTGTTGTTTGTGTTCTCTGGTTAGTTTGTTGATTTTCTTCATAGTGTTGCTGTCCTCGTTGCCGTTAGGTAGTTCTGTGTAGTTTTCCGTGTCATTTAATAGTTCAAGTATTTTCCCTTTGTAAAAGTTTCGGTCCATTATTACTGTCGCGCCTCCCTTGTCAGCTTCCTTTATTATAATTGTGTTGTCTGCCTTTAAGTTCTGCAAAGCTTTTCTTTCCGCCGCGGAAATATTACTTGTGATTGTCTTTCTGTCGCTTTGATCGTGGTTCAGTTCATTCAATTGTGTGATGTTTTCGATGACCATATTAAGCTCTCGGTTGTTGGATCTTGGTGGCACGAAGTTGGATTTATTCTTTACCAGAGACTTGTTTGTTGTTTCATTTTGGTTGTCAGGCGTAGTTTGCGTGAAAATTCTTGCAGGTCAGCTTCCAACTCTTTCCGATTTTCTTTTGGTGTAGGTGTAAACTTTAATCCGCGCTTTAATAAGTTTACTTCAATGTCACTCAGGTTTTTCGACGAAATGTTTATGATTTTCGGCTGTATTAGAATTGGCTTCTCTGTATTTGGTAGTGTGCTGGCCGGCTGAATGGGTTGTTGAATTGGTGTCGCGGAATGTGATTGTGGCCGGGGATTGACGCTAAAAAATGGTTTCTTTCTCGGTTATTAATCTCGGTATTTCTTGGTTGAAATTGGTCATGATTTTCTTGGCTTCGTAGAATGTATGGTTGGTGTGTAACGACGTTGGCGTATGTGGGTCTCGAGTAGGTTTCAGCTGGTGATCACCTGGCGATTTGGTTGCTGTGGTTGGCGTTTGGTATTTCTGGATTGGGTAGGATAAGATCTTGTGACCTGGTAATTCCTGTTGCCGTCGCTCTGTTGGTTTCGCAATACGGTCGTTGTTTTGTTGACACGTTGTTGTTGTCGTTTTGTGTGGGGATTTGATGAAATCGTGGGTGTTGAAATCTTTCTCGTAGTTTTCGAGCCATGCTTGTTTAGTTGTCCATCTCTTCGCTGACTTTTTTTCCTCTGCTTTGATTTCCTGAACATGAACAAATAATTTGTTCATTAATTTCTGTCTCAACGTCCAACGCCACGCCAACTGTGACAAAGTGCAATGAACCTCGTTGCGGCACATGCCCTCATATAATCACCGGGGACAAAATTGAACTGAAGAATGGAAAAACGTGGACGGTAAAATATGACATAAACTGTAAATCTAAAGGAGTTATTTACATCATAATATGCCCAAATTGCAACAGTTTCTACATGGGAACGACTGAAAACCTCAGAAACAGAGTAACTTTGCATAAGCAGAATATTAGACACGAAGAATATCGACATTTTACCGTCAGTGAACACCTATCTAAATGTAGCAAAGGCAACTTTAACATTATGCCGATCTATAAGTGTATCAACGCTAATAGACTAATAAGAGAGACCAAAGAGAAACAAATAATTAGAACACTAGAACCTAATCTTAATGCATGCTAATTTTATCTTTGTAAATAACACAACTTTAACATAGTCACACTAAATAGGATGTATCATATTACACTATATGTAAGTAAACAAAATAACCACTGTCATCATTTATCACCTGAAGAGCTAAGAGAGCGAAAACGTTTGTGAATAAAGTGATATTAAAAAATACAAAGCAGTGGTTATGTTCGAATAATATCTCTCTAGTTGACAAGCAACCTTTTTCTATATCTACACTTGTATTTGGCACAACGCAACTTTTATATATATATATATTTATATATATATATATATATATATATATATCTATATATACAGGGTGTATCAAAAAAAAGGAGACCTTTAGAAATCAAGCTATTGTTAAAATTTGAATGCTTTTTCAATTGCATTTGCACATATGCTAAACCGTAGTGCGTGAAATATTGATGGCATGCATGCATACATTAGAAAAAGCAGACCTTTAGAAAATGAATTGACGTTTGTACCGAGATTGTCTGCTCCTGGGAATTTGAAAATAACTTTAATAGCATAAGGAAAAATAACGACCCAAAAATATTCAAATGACTAAGCACAAACCACTAAGCACAAAAGCGATAACTCAGTATGAGTGGTAAATTGCTTTAGCTGTTCCTTCAAAACATGAACAAATTATTTGTTCATTAATTTCTAACACTGCGTGCAAGCAT